ACTTCCACGCCTGGGTGCAGCCGGGAGGGGCAGCCAGAGGCATGATGAAGGAGAGGAGGGGGCAATGCCGGGCTAAGTCAGCCTTGGAGGGCCCCTCCCCACAACATTTCCATCTGGGCGGCAGCAGGGAGGGGCAGAAAGAGCTGGGACCCAGGACATGGATTCAAGTCCTGACTGTCGACTGTGTGACTGTAGTAGCCTTACCTAGAAAATGAAAATTAGACGGCTTTGCTTCAGAAGGGTCATGAGGATCAGATGATTTAATAGAAGTGGAAACAATACCCAAACATAGGAATTATAATAATAATTATTATTTTGCATCACGCTGGCTGCCCAGATATATTTGAATCAGCATAGCCATGAAGTCAGACAGGCCTGCTCCCATTCTCTGCTTGCCATTTGCTGAAAACAGCCATGGCTACCAGCTCACCCACATCTAATGCTCACTAGATGCCGGGCATCATTCTGTGTGATTCATGCATAGTATCTCATTTAATCCTCACAAAAACCGTATGAAACAGGTACTTCTTCTTATTATTATTATCCTTATTTTGCAGATGAGGAAACTGAGGCACAGAGAGGCTTAAGATGCCCAGGGTCACACACAGAGAGGCGGCAGCACCCAGGGGATTCTAACCCAGGCAGCCCAATTTTACAGCCTTCCCTCACTTTAAAAGCTATACGCTGACACTGCCAAACTGTCAAGACACTGGAGTTCCACTTTTATGACTTTTGCCAGATCTAGCCAAGTTCCAGCTGTTCTGTTATCCAATTATTTTCTTCAAATCAAGTTACTTGATTTGTAAGTACGTTTTCTTTTTTTTGTTTGTTTTTGTGTGTGTGTGTGTTTTTTTTTTTTAGCTGAGCCATCCTGCCAGCTGTTGGCAGCTCAGCGGCTGCTCAGCTTGGGTCAGGACTCAAACCACTGTTGCTCACAGCTCACACTCTTGAGCGAACTCTTAACCAACTGAGCCACTCGGCCGGCCCAGTACGTTTTCTTTAAAGGGAAACATCATTACCATACACGGAAAGTCAGAATCACCTGCCACAGAGGAAACCTTTACAAAAATTCAATGAAACCTGAACAATGTTAGTGAATTCTAGCTAGATATCAGAATCTTGCTCTGCTCTGAGAGAAGGTCTGCTCTGTGTTTGGTTGAGAGGGGGGAGGGAGGGAGAGATGGAGAGAGAGAATTGTGAGGTGTCAGAGACGCATTTAACACAATAGCCTTTCTCCTTAAGCAGAAAGACTGTAAGAGAATAAAAATAGGACATCGCTGTTTCACAGCAGGGGGATGGGTCCCTGTGTCCCACAAAAAACGGTCATTCAAGAGGCTCTCCAGGTCACCCATCCCACGCCTGGGAAACACGGCCCAGGGTCTGTCATGGGTAAGCAGTCCCTTCACTGACTCTGAGCCTCAATTTCCTCAGTTTACCCCCCGTGAAATGGGGTAAGCATCCAGACCTCACAGAGTATGGAGGATAAAAAGTAAGTGATTATAAACTGTTAAGCATAGAATCCATAATCTGCAAGAGGCACGATGTTGGTAGAGCAAGCTGGGCCCTATGTCCCCAGCTTAGGACACTGAAAATGAAACTCCAACACTCCCAGCCTGGAGCTGCTCAGTGTCATTTGTCTCACCTTTCCCTCTATGTGTGCCTGGTGACAGGAAGGGCCACAGTTTCTGGAAGGCGGGTCAAACTACCTCAGGTCCAGCTGGGGAGGAGTCTGCTAGGCTCTCCCAACCAGGTGAGCAGGGGTTTGGGGGCACGGGGAAGAGTGCATACTTGACCCTTAAAATAGGCCTTCCGTTCACTGGGTTTGAGATGGGAGAACAGCATCAGAGATGTGGGCTCAGGCCCTCTTTGCAGGCACTAGGAGGAAATTGGGTCAAATTGCAAATCTGACCACCTCACACCCCTGGTCTAACACTCCCCCTAGTTCCCACTGCAAATGAGTATTACTGTTAGCTCCCCCTTATTTAGCACTTTCTAGGTTGGTATCATTATCATCTCATTTTACAGACAAGGCAACAGGAGCCAGGAGTGGTTGTTCCTTGTCCATGTTCTCACAGCGGGTAGAAGCAGTAGAAGCAGTATTCGAACCAAGCAAGGTGACCCAGAGTATTCAGTGGCTCCCAACTGCTAGATAGGAAACTATGACACCTTCCCCCTAGGATTTGAGGTCCTTTCCTGGCCTCAGCATACATTTCTAGTCCCATACCATTCCCTTCACACTCCCCATCTGCTTCCATCATCCCCAATTTCTCATCATTCCCTAGGCCTTTTGAGCAGCCTGGGAAAAGCCTTCGATGTTTCCCTTGCTTCTGCTTCACTTTGCAAACTCCTACTCAACCTTCAAAGCCCAGTTTAGTCGTTGCCCCACCCAGGAATCCCTCCTTGACACTGCGGAGCCCCCACTGCCTCTGTTAAAGCCCACATCAGAGTGCCAAGAGAGGTTTGCTCTGTCTCCTGGACTGTGAGTGCCAGGAGGGCAGGGACCATCTTGTGAGCCATGCGATACAAGCAAGTTGCTGAGCTTTGCTGTGCCTCAGTTTCCCTATTATCATTGCCACCATCTCCCAGGACCTTTAGGGTGAGTAAATGCATTAATAGCTGTGAAATGCTTAGAAGCACGCCTATACAAACAAAGTTCTCTAGAAATGGAATAGTGATCCCACAGGGAGTGCAGATGACAAGTGACAGGCTAACCTGAGGAGCACTGGAGAGAGAGGGCATTTACCAGGGCACATGGGTGAAGGAGTCTGTAACACGGCCCTTCCCTGAGGTGCAGGTGTGCCACCCCCCACCCAGATACATTAGGTGTAAGACCAGCAAAAATTCTCTTACATGTTTATTTCAATGTGTATTAGGAAAAAAAATGCTTCCCATCAAATCCAAAATGCTATGGCTATTATAGTCTGAGACAACACTAAAGTAGGTATACAGGTTTTTTTTCCCAGTTGGGACACGCATGTTTGGTTAGGAAATGGGGTAACAATGGTCTTAGGGGAATGATGAGGTTTGGGGAATGCTGGACTAATGAAAGAAAAGAAAATGGGACGGGGAGCCAGAGAGATGGAGAGAGGGGAAGAGAGAAGAGAAGAGAAAGGAGGGGAGAGAAAAGACAAGAAGGGGGGGAAAAAAGGATGGAAAGAGAATAGAGAGAGCCCAAGGATAAAAGAAAGGACACAGAAATGGATAGGTGAATGAATGATGAGTGAATGAATTAATAAGTGAGTGAACAAGTGAATGAATGAAGGAATGGGTGAAGGAATAAATAATCTAAGGCATATATAAACGAAAAGGGCAAATGAATGAAGGGGAAGCATTGGTGGCTGAGCCAGATGGCAGGCCCTTAGCCCCGGCAGCCCCTGCTCCATAGCTCTCAGCTGTGTGGCAGAAGCCACGCAGGACATATTTGGGCTCCAGGGCTGGTCCATGTCCTGAAGTGTGGCTGTGCCACCACTTGACTCTGGGAAGCCGTGCTCTCCCCTCCCAACCAAGTACCTGGGACACCTACTCAGCTCCAGCCGCAGAAAACTGAAAGTGAAAGCCATCCTGAGCTTTGCCCCAGGCTTCCTGTTCCTCAGCTGGTTTCTTAGAAATCAGCCGCCTGGGCTTCCAGCTGTAGCCTGGACTTCCTCCCTCACCCAAAGGCCACCTCCCCTGGCAGGTTCCACGCTGTCAGCAGCGATGGGGCCAGGGGCTTGTGCTGGAGTTGGGGGACCATAAAGTGTGCGGACCATGCATCCATCCCACAGGTGTGTATTCATGCCTCCTGTGTGCCAGGTGTGCAGGGAGCAGAGAAATCTGAGCCATTCCGAGAGTTAGGAGAAAAAGGACTTAGGCATGGTTTCAGGAGCACCTGATCCAGGCCCCAACAAGAATGGGGCTGGATGGTTGGCGGGGGTCACCAAGAAAACTAATTAGGCCTAGGAATCATGGGGAGGAGGGTGGGAGATGCGGAGTCAGGGGAAGGCCTCCGGAGGGGTCGCTGTCTGAGTCTTCACGCGTGAGTGGGAAGCTCACCTGGGTACCTCGGTGGGGAAGGGCATCTCAGGCAGAGGGAACGGCACATGCAAAGTGACCTACGTTCTCTCCCATAATCCATATAACTGCCCTGGAAGTAGGCAGGTTTCTCCCTTTTTTTTTTTTTACAGGTGAACAAACTAAGGCCCAGAGAAGCGTAGTGATTTATTTGCCCAAGACCTCACAGCTATACGGGAGATCTAAGTGCAGCCCATGTGACTGACCTCTTCCACGCGAGACTAAAATAGACTCCCCCCAACCTCATGAAGGCTGTCTCACCTGGAACACTCCTCCTGCCCCAGGCCTTGGACTCCCACGCACTGCATTTAAACCCTTGCTACCACTCTGTGGGGAGATACAGCTGGGAGAAAAAAATAAGGCTCAGAGAACTCAAGTGACCTGTCTATGTCACCCAGCCTGCTGGGGAAGAGCTGGGATTCTCGCCCTAGTGTGTGGGACCCCAAAGTGCCTCCTCCTTCCTCTATACGAGGCACCCGGGCCCTCACAGAACACAGACCTGAGCTGACAGCCTCTGTCCCCACATTCTAAGGAGGTGGAAAGGACAGCAAGTACAAAGGATCTGTGGCTGGAAAGCAGGGCCCTCATACAGTAGTAGAGCTTTGCTCTTAGGGGGCTATCCTGTCCTCCTTCTGTATGGTCCTGAAGGGGCTGTCAGTCACAGCACCTTGGCCATAGGTAGACATGGAGGGTGGGCACATGACCTAAGCGGGGCCAATCAGAAACCCTCCTGGGACTTTTCTGCTGAAACAAACAGGAACTATTTCCTTGAAACTGGTGCCTGCTGTCAGCCATTGTGCCCACTGTGGTCAAAAGAGTTGAAGAGAAGGAGCACAAGACAGAGCCCTAAAAAAAAAAAAAAAAAAAGAAAGACAAGAGCCCTGATGCATTGCATGAGCGCCTCCATCCAGCGAGCGGTGCCTGAAATCCAGCTCTGGACTTACCTGTTACACACACCTCAAGTTTCCTCTTTTTCTTATGCTTGTCTGAGTTGAAGAGCAGCGAGGGTCAGGGGTCAGGTCTGGGTGGCACAAAGGGCGAGCGAGTGAACTGGAGCCACAGCATCCTAGGAAGAGATGAAACAACTGGTCTGAAAGAGGCAAGCCTAGCTTTGCGAGATCTGGAGCCCACTGAGATCCCCTCTCTCCCCTCTCTCGCTGAAGTCTGCCCTCTGGGAAGGCTGGAATGCAAACGCATTCACACTTCCTGATTCACGATTGCTCTTCATAGCTTACTTTTTTCACTTAGGGAAAAAAAAAAATTCCACATTAAAGAAATTTTCCTTCCCATTTTTTTAAACCAATTTTATTTTTAGAGCAGTTTTAGGTTCACATCAAAATTGAAGGGAAAGCACAGTCTCTGTATACCCACTGCCCCCACGCACACGCACAGCTTCGCCCACTGTCAACATCCTATACTTGTCCACATTATTTTTTAATTTCCACATTTGTTTTTAAATTTTTTAAAAGAATCTACCAATAGCATTATTAAATATATCATATGTATTTTCCTGATTTCTACAGATACATATATATATATATTTTTAAGATTTTATTGGGGAATCGAGGGAGGGGAACAGAAAAGTTGCTGTCCTTTTGTTCTTCAGTCTCATTGTGGAGGACGTCGCTTCACTGGCCCAAGTTGATATTATCATTGCGCTCTTCCCAGGTGAGGCAGATCAGTCGCCGGCCACCGGACGGCCGCTCACAGCGGCTCTTGGCAGCTCACGCCGGCTGCCGGTCTCTCACACTGGCTGCATGGCCACTCACGGTAGCTCATGGCAACCCACTGCAGCAGGGGCTGCAGCCTATGTTGTCCCCGGCGACTCACGGCAGCCCAGCTCCAGGTCGAGCTGTTGTGCATCATCTTAGCTGTAGAGGGCGCAGCGTCGCTGGCCCTCATGTGAGATCTGAACCAGGGCCTTGCTGCTCAGAGCTGGCGTCCCAAGCCAGCTCTTAACCAACGCGCCACTCAGCCAGCCACATATTTTTTTCTTTAAATGAAAAAGACACCATCCTTTATGACCCATATTGTAACCTACTTTTTCTATTAGCATTTCATAAGCAGCCTTCCAGGTTACTGATTGACAAGGTAACAATGCTCATACCCACCTGACCAGTGAGGAAGCCAAGGCCCAGCGTGAAGGGGCCCAGTGTTGACCTTGTGATACAATTTCATCAAATGCTCTCAATTGTCTACTGAGGTTTTGTTCCCTTTTCATGGGTGGGAAAACTGCCGTTCAGAGAGGGGAAGTCATTCTGATTGGAGGGCCCTGGGCAGGGTGGGGGTGGGGGACAGGGACGGGACAGCTGGTCAGCAGCCATGAAACTCGGCCCAACAGGGGCTCTGGGAGCTTTGTCATGAGAAGGGGGATTAACCGTGAGCATGGTGCAGCTTGCACAAGTTCACCTGGCAATAGGACCTTCCCACAAGGATGCTCAGAAAGAGAAGTGACCCATAATGACAGTGTCGGCTTGTGTTCACGAATGGTGAGCCAGCGTATCATGCCTGCACATGCGTGACGTGTGCTCAGGAATCATGGGTGACATTGAGCATTGCTGACAATGAAGAATGCTTACACCAACCCTGGGCACGCGCTATATGTTCAATAGATGGCAGTTGCTGTGGGTTCAGCAAGGGGAGAATGGGTGAAGGAACTGGTCAACTTTAGTGTCATTATTACCATTGGCGATATATTATTAGATCGGAGGTGTAAAGTATGTATTGCACTATAACATAAGGGCTGTTTTTTATGTAGCACTTGGTACATGCTGACACTGTGCTAAGCACTTCACAGTATCTCGTTTGATTCTTAAAATAATCTTCTGGGTATATTGTGTTAGGCTGAGTCATGAAATTGCCGTTTTTGTAGGTCAAAAACCCAAGAGCATTGGCAATTTCATACAGTTCAATCTAATAGCATCTTCATTTTACAGATTCAATGAACCCCACTGGCAGGGCCTGGGGGCTTCTGCCTGCTCAGAGGATTCAGATTTTGTCCTTGGTTCCCCTTCTTCATCTACCTCTCATTTTGGCTACCTGTGTGCCCACTGCCCCACCCCATTGTGGCTGGGTCTATATTTATAGCCCTGGTTTCTGTGAACTGGGGAGTTGAGGAAGTGACTTATTCCAGAGTCATCACAGCCACAACGAGATAATGACATTCAAGGACCCTACGTTTCTGACCGACCCCCTTGCTCCTACCCAAATGGGATTTTTCCCCCCCTTCTCTGGATTTCTAAGGCCCAAACCGGCAAGATAGAAACAAAAACTGTGGGACTGCCTAGTGTGGCCCATCTGGTGGGCAGACGAAATGGGTGGGAGATTTGTGCCCATTTTACTGCCAGTGACACTGAGGCAAATCTGTGCCCAGCCTGATTGCCAGTTGCCCCTGTCAGGAGCAGAGAAGAGAGGGAGGGCGTGGTTGCTGGACACGCGAGGCCTGGTCTGGTCCAGCCCAGCCAAGCATCCCAGAGGCCATTGGAAGGACCCCCTGGACCAGCACTGTCCCCGCTGCTGGGGATATTGCTGAACCGACAGCCAAGCTGCAGGGGCACTGGGTCTGGAGGGGGTAGTATTTCCAGGTAGTCAGACTGAGATAGAATGTGGCAGCTGTGGAGACAGCGGGGGAGGAAAGGGGCAGCCAGGTCCCCGCTGCGCACAGCCCGCCCGCCAGGCACAGCCGGTCTTCGGGGAAGTCGCCGACTCGGAGTTCCAGGAAGCGATAACGCTTGTTGAAACCTCTTTCTTGTGGCCTGGTCTTGTCACATGGCTCGGTGGAGACCAACGTCAGGCAGGGCCACAGGTCTGGGCCAGCTCGCACTGGGGCAGCTGCTGCCACCCTCTGCTTTCCCCAGAGGCTTAAGGGGGTGGAGGGAGCTGGGCAGGAAGGCGGGCATTTGGGTCCCCGGCCCCCCCAACCTGGCACAGGCCAAGAGCATCCCCTGGACCCTCTCTGTGGCTGGTTCAGCTTCTGATTCCCCATCCAGCAAATGGGGCGGAGGAGCTCTAGGCTGCAGGGCTGCTGTGAAAGCAGATAGTAGGTGCCGAGGAAACAGAAATTCTTTGCTCCTTTCCCATGAAGTCAGGGTACACGCCTCATTCTGGAGCAGCGTTTCTCCACCTGGGTGCACTTGCTTTCAGGGCTGGGTAACCCTTGGCTGCGAAGGCTAGTCTATGTATTGTAGGACGTTTAGCAGCACCCCTCGCCTCTACCCACTACACCAGTAGTACCCACCCCACCCCCAACCCCCAGTGATGACACTCAAAATGTCTCCAGGCATGGCCCAATGTTTCCTGAGGGGGCAAAACCCTGATCTAAATTCAGCGCCCAGCACATAGTAGGTGCTCATAAATTAGTAGGCCCTCAACCTTGATAGCAGTGCATGTCTAGTCCATTTTATACCCCATCACCTGGCATCACACAGGCGCCAAGGGATAATTTGGGAGGACCTTAGCTCTTTAATTTCTATCAGCCTCTTACCCCATTCCCCTCATAAACGTACCATCTAAATAAAAATTCTGCTGGAGGCCTTGAACTTGAAGATAGCAAGTTGAATTGAGGGTGGGGTCAGGCCTGACGTGAAGGGTGACGGGAAAGGCCATATGCCCATGAGCAAGACTCCCCTTTCCGCACCCCACTGCTTAGTCCCTGGAAGCTGGCAGCCCTGCTTTCCTCCAGAAAGGAGCCTGGGGGTGGGGTGGGGGAGGTGTGGTTCTCCTTGGGTCCACTGACCTGCTTAAGAGAAGACACTTCAGATACTGACTCTGGGCTCCTACAAGGACAGCCAGATCCTGCCCAGTCACCTGGACAAGACTTACCTGTCCACACTCCCTCCCACAGGCATGGACATTCTGACTGTTTTCAGTTTCCTGTTCTTCAGCGTGAACTCAGAGCCAAGGATCACCCGAAACGTGAGGCAAGCTCAACACATGAAAGGCAGAGACCAAAATCAACAGAGGGAAGGAACTTGCAGAAAACAGAGCTGGCGCAGGGAGCAGGAAAAACCTCTAAGACCACAAAAACAACAACAACAAAAAAAACCCCTCAGAGAAATAAAAGCTGTTGCATCCATAAAACAAGAACCAGAGGCTGTATCAAGGGACAGTCAGAGAAAAGAAAGAGCTAGAAGACGAGAGGTGAAAGAAAAATGTCAATATTAGCATTGGAAGAGAAGGTTGGGGCAATCTCCCAGGAAGACACAGAGATGGAAGCTACAAGAGAAAAGATAAGAAAATGAGAGGATGATTTCACAAGCGATCACATGCAGCTCACCGGCGTTCAAGAGAGAACAGAGAAAATGGAGGGAAGAAATTTTCTGACACAAATGGAGCTTTCGTATTGTAGAGCTCCTGGGCTGCAGCGTTCATTTTCTCTTTATGTGTAAGAAGTGCTATGGTAGGCAGGGCTCTAAGATAGCCCTGTTATTTCCCGCCACCCTGCCTAACCCCCCAGTACGTGGATATGAGAGATTCTGCTCCCGTGGTTAGGCTGTTTTATGTCTGGCACGGTGGATTTCACAAAAGGGAGCTTGTCCAGGGGGCCTGACTTAATTACAAGAACCCTTTCAAAGCAGAGCGTTTTCTCTGGCTGGTGCCACAAGAGGAAGTCAGAGATTTGAAGCACCAGAAAGATTTGATGCACTGATGCTGGAGTAGAGGGGGAGGGGTCACACGGCAAGGAATGTGGCTCTGCTGATATCTGGGAAGGACATGGGATCTCAGTCCTACAATCACAAAAACTGAATTTTGCCAAAATCAAGAATGAGCTTTGAAGAGGATTCCCCCCCCCCCGAGAGCCTCCAGATGACAATCAAAACCCCAGCTGACCCTTTGATTTTAGCTCTGTGAGACCCTGAACAGAGAATCCAGCCATGCTGTCCCAAACTTCTGACCTGGGGAAACTGTGAGATGATCAATCTGTGTTGTTTTAAGCAAAATTTGTGGTCATTTGTTTCGCAGCAGTAGAACACACCTATACAGTTGCTTAAACCAATGAACACTGACCTAACACAAGTCCTGAGGGACATAGTAGAGGCTCTATAATTGCTGGCTATTATTATTACT